CTGGCAGCATTGTAATATCCACAGGTTCTTCGAAAATGTAATTGGGCAATGAAACATACTTGGCTTAAATTTTTATTTGCAATTCAGAAATGGCAAGCGAGCACTTTAAACTACTACATGCAAACTTAATCCGCGAGTGCTGACAGATTTGTTTTCAAGATTAATCTATAATCGAGCTAGTGTCTATGCACTTGATTTAATTATAATGATTCTATAATATACTCCCACATTTTTCCTGACGTCTTATTAAATGTAAATATTGATGGTTTTTGCTTTAGAATCCATTTCTCAAAACCATTTAGCACGTTATATTAGATGGCAAAGTCAATTGAAAGTCAATTAAATAATTTGCCTAAGCCACTAGCGAACACCTTACAATTCCATTCATCAAGCTAAACATATCGTTAATGTTATAGATTTACCAATTTATTTTATTTGATTTGCCTGACGCCGTGCAAATCGGCCATAACTCTGTGGTTCCCAACTTATTGATTGCATGTACTTGATCTATAAAGAATATCGGCTTAGTGCGCTGTCCTGCTCGCACTTCTTTGGCCGCATGACTTTATGACAAGCGGTCTAGGTAGCCAAGTTCGTTGCCTAAGTCTTTTGTATTGCGACTGGGCATGCAAATATTTGCATATAGATTTACACACCCACGGGCCGAGTCGCAGTATGCCTTGGCAACAATGGGCTGCCAGAGCCTCCTTTACTTGTTTAATATATGTAGCTATATAGATACGATGCCAAACTTTAAATATATTACACTCTAATGCCTTTTAAGCCGAAACTATAAATTTCTTATCGCCGATCGAAAATCAAGCGTGCTCACCGCAAGTCACAGTCAAAAAGCAAAGCCAGGTTTTAGCTTTTGGCCACTGGCACTGGGTCTTTGGCTGCTGCGAATAGTTGGCTGTTACTGAGGCACACACCCTAGTTGGCTCACTCGTGCGTCATATTCAAATGCGGCCAGATCCAGGCTTTCAGCTCCGGCTCCAGGTCGCAGATTGCGTCCGCCAGATAAGCCAATGCCAGCGCCACTGTTTCGATGACTACGGGAGTATGGAAGCACGGGAGTGCGGGACTAACTGCGACTACTTGAACTACCACCGTGTATCTATCGCATATGGCATTCTTTCAAAGGCCGTTGGCCAGAGACCAGCAAACGCTAACGGATCGGGCAAGCAGGAACCAAGCCGGCCATAAATGGCCAAAATGCATGCGCTGCCTTAAACAGTCAAATGTGTGGATAATAATTTTGATTTATTGCCACAGCATCGCGGCCAACGAGCCACCGCAATCGGCAATCTGGGCTAGATAACTCTATACAACTATGGTCGGGCATTTTGGGCATTATCAGGGGGAGGCTCAACCTGCTGTTTGATTTTTTTCTTCCCTCCGTCTTTTTTTTGGGGCGTGTGTTGCGGTGTGGGGCGTGTGTCTAACATGCTAATGAGCCAACTTTCAGTGGACCAATCGCCGTGCGGCTAGGCGTCTAACAATGCCCACGTTTGCTAACAATATGAAATTTAAGGTTTCAGTGTTTTTTTTTTTGTTTCTCTCGTTCCAATACCTTTTTTGCATAATTTATACATTTTGCGGTAGCTTAGACTGACCGCAACTCTTTCCCGTTTTGCCTGCATTTTAATTATGAAAGCAACTCGTGCCAGACGCCAAATCGAATCGAACCGAATCGATAATTTGCATGAGCAACGCCCGAATGCCCGAATTTTGCACAATCAATACAATTATTACAATTGAGATGTGTTTCTTGCCGTTTTCGGCTAATCCAAGAAGCTTACATCTGGCTGAAAAGAAAAGAAAGTCGCCAGCCTTACTTTCTCGACGTTTATCAGCCCGCTTGGCTTTCGTGTTCGCTTATCGCCAGCAGCTGCATAGTCATTCATCTTGTGGCCAGCAAATGAATCTGCAAATAAAGCTGTTGCCCCGGTGATCTGTCAGTCGTGCTACCCCATCCGCTTTTAATTGCAGTCCAAATTGAAGCTGACATTTATGCCTGCACTCCATTTGCATTGCGAATCCCCTACCAGTCCCCTTCTGGCCATACTAATTGCCCAGAATGCCGAGATTCGCCAGATTCGCCAGATTCGCAATGCTGAAATCCTCCACTTGGGTATGTCCTCCTCTAACGGGAGTGCACCTCAGACGATCAAATGCAGACGATCAGATGCAAATTGAGCTGTTCGGAAGACTTGTAGTTGCAGTTGTACGCACAATTAGTGTTAGTCGTTTGCCCGGGACAACACTCAATGGCAATTAGGGTCGGCTGGCGTACAAATCCATTGCAAAATGCCAACAGCTGTCAGTGTGTTTGTTGGCCAGCGTATCTGTGTGTGACAAGTGTGCGCCTTGTTGTTGGCCACTCGACAGGGGCACGCAAATTGTAATTTATGTGACAAATTTTTATGTACCACTAGCGAAAATTTATTGGCCACGCTTGCCGAGATTCTAGGGTGAGTCAAAATCGAGAGGAGATCTCCGGTTTATGATGGGCCAGACTCCTCGTGTCGGTCGTAAAATGATGAAATTGTTTCGGAAGTAAAGCCAATCCATTGTGAACGGGCCTTTATAATTGATCATAAACATTTATGGCTCCTCTTCTAATCTTGGGCTGTCTTTCTGGGACAAGAATATAATATATCTACATCAATGAATGGAAAAGTACATCGTATTCGCTGATTGCAGGTAAAATATACATTCTTTCAGATTTTCGACAATTTTACATTAAACGTTTAACGTTTCAAATATTTTACTATTCCCATTACTTTCAATCATTTGTTTTCTATTACGAAACTGAGATATAAACATTTAAGAGCTCAGTAAAATTCTGGGAAATTTATAATGTCCGGCAATTGGTTGCCAGTGGTCCGTTTCTGATACAAATCTTCCTGGAAACAAACATCGTCGATTGCACTCGAGAACTGAAAAAAGAAGATGGACCAGCACTCGAGGCTGGCATGATCGCCAAACGGCAGGCCAAGATTCCATTCCATTCATGCCGGAAGCGATTCATTCACAACGTGTTGACTCCAAACAGCTGTACGCAGGCCATAAGCCAAGTCACATTCGACTATCATTTATCACTTGAGAAGCGGCAGCGACTTAAGCCAAATCTACGAGTATTTAAGCTGGTAAAGTGTTCGAACACTCTTTGTCCGGTGATTTGTCAATGATGCAAGCTTATGGATTTGGCTTCGCCTTCGACAGCAGCCGATAGAATTTCCCAAGCGAACTCATTCATTAAGTGGTGTCCGCCTCTCGCAGCGGGACGGCTACCAAATAGAAATCAATATTATAAATATTTCGGATTTCGTGCTTGAGACAAAACAAAACGAATTAGACGCATTTAAATACACCGATCGAAATCGATTTGCATTTAAAATCGAATCAAAGATTTCTAATTTCGTGCTACCACAGGCTAAGATAATAAAACGCCCACGCTTAGGCAATAGATGCGAACCAGTTTATAGAGCTGGCTCATCAGTCATTTTGATTACCACAAATAACCGGAGCTAGGCAGCCTTTTATTTGCCCCTGCCATTGATGTCAAATAAATTGATCGCCACCGAATGCCTTTTTAAATTCCTCAACTTACAGTTTTCGTGGCTGCTACTGTGGCTTTTAGCTCTGGCTTTGCATGTTGGTCCAGTTTGGGGCACTGACTCTGACATATTGCCTGACAATCTCGGTGAAGCAATAAACACACCGCAGCTCTAGAATCATGCATAGCATTAAGACAAACTATAATAACCAGCAAAAGGTCAGCACGGAGAACTTGTTTTGTCATTTGCCAAAAAATACAGACACATCACCGAGGCAGAGATAAAATAAATTGCTTCAATATCGAATTAATAAAATTCAAATTATTAAAACTGATCATTTCCTGTTCGAACTTTAAACGAAACTAACACAAGGCACACACGCATCTGGTATAAAGGAAAAATAAAGTGAATTCCTGAAGAATATGTGACCCAATTAGTTGAAAGGAGGAAAATGAAATAAATAAAATTCATTTGTCCGCCAGTGTAATTTATTGCATGTTTTGCTCATTAAATTGATTTTTCTCCTTTGATTTTGAGTGCCAGTGTCATTGTCAGAAAACAGGGGACACCGACGTGCAGCCGATGATACGGGGAAACTTGAAAACTTGGAAACTTGGAAACTGGGCAGCCAAGGAGTCGAGAAGAGCACGAATGTTTGTTTGTTTGTTTGTACGGCGACCGCCGCTGTTGCACTTTTCAGCACGCTCGAGTTTCATAAAAAATGCCAATTAAGCGTGAATATAAGTGCCAGATAATTTTTCAGACAGCGGCCAATGTAACCCAAATTGCCAAAAAACGCGAAAGAGTTACAACAAAGCCAAAACAAGCAACGGGAGCAGCAGGAAGGTAAAAAGTAAAATCAAAAAGTAAAACTCATTTTTCAGGGGTAAGATTCACTAACCAAGCGGAGTCGTTGGACAATATTCTTGGGAAACCAATACTATAGTATATTTTCAACTATTGCAATTTTGTATGAAACAATCAACATAGACGTTTCTATTAAATGAGCTTTAGATATCTGTGGTTTTTCCTAGAATCTCAAGCCAACCCAGATTTAGTGCGGCTTTCGCCTAGACAACATTGTCAATAGATATCGATGTGAAGTGACCTGCTGACAGGCGGCAATGAGAACTTCAAAAGCCCGCCGCTGACCTCATAATAAGCCAGGCTCATCTCCACTCAGTTTTCGGAGCTCATCTGCCTTCAGGGAGGGCATTCGAGATTCGTTTCGGCTTCAAGTTTCCTGGCTGGCAGCCTTAAACAATATTTACAGCACTCAAGTGCAATTCAAGTGCTGGGCCAAGTCGAGCGATATGCCCAACCAAACACATTCAAGCAATCCACATCCACATCCACATCCACGTCCAAGTCCGAATTCGTATCAGGCAAAAACGAGAGCCCCAAAAAAAGTAAAACTCAGGCCAAGAATAACGAGCCAAAGTGTTTCTTCGTTTTTTGTGTCGGATTTTGAGCATTTTTCATTTCGGAACGACAGGCGAACTGATGTTGACGTCCACGTCTGTATCCAAGACGCAAGCTTGGAATTGAAATTGGAATTTGTGGCATCGTTTTCGGTTTCGTTTACGATTTCGGCCAAGAGACTCTCAGTGCGGCGGCATTGGTACTTTGACTAGTACAATGACAAGAGTTAAGCGATCCCCAAAAGCCAGAAACAATGGCGGTCATGCTCATAAAATGCCCAAATGTCATCGGGCATTTGGGGGTACACACATACGAGTATATTCGAATATATTCAGATCTTCGCTGTTATCGCGAGGCCCTGAGAGGCGGCGTTGATTTTGATAAATGTTTAATTAATTTTGTGCCTCGCTCGAACATTAAACCTGGCTATTTTCTGACTTAATGAACAGAAATTAACAACACACTGAGATCACTCTCCGTGGGGGTAGAGTTGTATAGTATGTTGGACCCAAGGGGAGACAGAAGCCAACCATGCGGAAGATCTTCAAAGTCTGCGCTTTTTTGGTAAAGTTTCTTCTCGTCTTGTCGGGATTTTCTCATTTACATTACATTATGCTGGCTCTGGCTACATGTTATGAATGAATGTTTACCTATACACATGTGAAAAATGTTGTAATTAGTTTTTTACCAGTTTTTTTTCCCCCATCTTCGCTCAGTGAGTGATTTTCAACAACGACTGCAAATTACAAGTTATTATTAATGTTAACAAGCGAAATCTCCGCGTACTTATGTGTTTATATATGACCGCTCGTATATATATACATACATATAGTGAAAACTAATTTAGCAGGGGGTCTTCCCCCCCTTGATTTGTTTCGAAAACCTACACTTTATGTATTTATGTGTTGTGCATTAATGACTGTTCTTGATTTATGTGCGCCGATCAGTGCGGAGCAGGAGGCACCTTCCTCGGCAAGTGGGTCACATGTCCCGTGGGTATTCGTACTTACAGAGGCGCGCGCAGAACTCGAGGGGGGCACTAAATGCGGCCATAAAAAAGACAACCTCCCCGGTAGCGCTGACATTACATAGAATACCCGAAACACAACCAAATACATTCCACAATAATTATGCAAAGAGCAGCAGTGGAGAACAAAAAGCTCGTTGCACAAACGACATCGACACGAACTCATAAAATATGCAAAATGTGTGCCAGCCAGTCAGGCAGCAGAAGTCGGCACTCTGCACTCTCGGCCGACAGCCAGCAACTTGTGTCAATAAAAATCAAGCCAAGCACTGCAAGTGCATCCTCTAGCTCTAAGTCCAAGTCCAAATCCAATCCTCTGCACTTGTTCCTGCATGCACCTGGAAAGCTGTGAGTGTGTCTCAAGTCTAGACAGCAGACAGCCAAAGTCACTTCACATTGCACATTGCGCTTCCTGACTCGGCTGCCTCCACTTTCAATGAGCCATGGCCGCGAAGGATGGTGCACTGAGTTTTTACGACCCACCGATATATACTCGTATGTATGTGTGCCAGCTCCACTATTCGACTATTCACTATTCGGGGGTAACAATAAAAAATGCATCTCTGCCATGAAAACGGTAGAGTCGAGAGCTAATCAGGATCTCAATTTATTTAAGTCCTCGGGGAATTTTCATGCTCCCGCGGCGATCGGATTGTGTGATCACATCGCATCATCGGTCGGGATCAATGGACAAATCGGTTTATGTAGTGGATTCGCAAATTGGCAGGAGCAGGAAGCGCAAAATTCTGGCCAACTTTATGGAGATCGTAAACAAGGAGAAGTGTTTTAGGCAACATTCCTCAAATTAAATTAAAGATCCGGCAGAGGCGGATTAGAAAATGTTTCCTTGTAGCTTTAACGTTAAGTTTGAGGCTTTACTTTACAGATTATAACTTTGGGAGCATTTGTGCCGAAATCCATTGATAGTAAATGGTAAACACTTTTTTAATGAGAAAATCCCCATTCGGTAACTAATTTTTTTGAGTACTGAAAATTCCCTGGCATTTATAGCTGGTAGTAAATAAATAAATAAATAAAGCAAATGAAAATCAAACGGGAAAATGTCAGAGGCAAAAGTTCTCAGCGCGGGCCGTAGACAAATAAATTTATGACACATGACGTTGTGGAGTACAAGTACGGACCACAACAAAAACACATCGACATCGACATCGAACGAACTGAACTGAACTGAACTGAACTGAAGTCGACTGAAGTGTAACTTCCCACTGACCCAATTTACAAGCACTTAATGCCAAAAAGGAGAAGTCGTAGAAGAAATAAACAAAGACGAAAGCCAGGCCGGGGTAATGCATATCAAATAAAGTTCAAGCGACAGCAGCAACACCAACAAGACGACAAAAATTATGACCAAAATAGACAGCACTGCCACCAACAACAACAACAACAACAACAACAGGAATAACAACAAAGAAATTTAAATTAAAATCCAAAAACTCCCACACATAAAAAGTCGAGAAAGAAACGCCAAGTGAAAAAAAATGTACACATACTCCCGAGTAGAGGAGAAAAAAATAAAGGTCTGTCAAAATTAAATCATTTCGGTGGCAAACAACATAAACCGATGGTTAAAAGTTGATAATGATGATGCTTGGATAACGCTCGTTATTACTATGGTTGTTGTTTTTGCCGGTGTTGCTACCTTTGTGGCTGTCCAGTGCGTTGGTGGCTGGCACTGACAGCGTAACAAATGCTATTTTGACAAAGTGTCTGACATGAGGAGCGTGGAAGCGCAGACCCAGAAAGAGACAAGCGAAACACCGAGGTTCCACAATTATGCGAAAGTGAACAAAAAATGTATAAAAATCCAGTGCGAAACGGTTGCTGCGTGTCTGGTACACACGCACACACACATACTACTGTAGATATAGGTATACCCACGAGCAGAAGAAATTTATGAAATTTTTCATTTTTTTTTGGCGCTGATAAACACCCGCTAAAGTTAAGCGGACAAGCGACCCAGAGTCCATTCCACTTGACGGCCAAGCTTCCGGTTTCTTTTTGGGTGAAATTTTCTATGCGCCTGTGGCAGATTTATGTGAGAAAACATAGCAGCAGCGGCACCACATTTTTCATAAAAAATTATAAACACCGATAGCGAACTTTGGAATTTGCATATTCTTCCCTTTTGGCGCTTTAACACATGCGATAGTGTTGTTGGATGCATGGCACGGGCAACAGACTTTTAATTATTAATATTAGACATTAGAAAATGAATACCAACGAATAAGATAAACAAAATCAATCAGTCAGTGGTTTCACAACCCAGGGGGCTTCATCTACAAATTAACAGCTTTTATTTTATTTATTTGTCAACGTGTTTCTGGGCAAACATACTAGATTTGCCGTTAATTGAAGAAAATCTTTGACTGTGATTGTGGCCGTGTTAAATGGACAAATGAGTGACTAATTTAACGTCATATGAGTAAACAAAATCGTTGAATAATTATGTAAGCTTATAAACAGTTATTAAAAGAGAAAATTGCAGAAAAATATAGTATATTTTTTTTTTTAGGCGTCCAAAGCTCTGAGTTAAAATCTTCAGCCGACTATGATTAATTATTTGCTGGTTTTATATGAAAACTTCACGAAACTCGTTCTTCTATATATTTATAGTTTTTAATTCTATATTTAGCTAAACGGTTATGACGGTTCTACTTATACTCACAACTGAAAGCCAATAATAAGCTACGTAATCTGATTATCGTTTCATTCATAATTTTTTTTCCGAATGCGTTAACAATTTCGTTGCCTAAGTCTTTTGTTCCTGCTCACCAAAAGCTAGTTATTCACTAGTGTAGTAAAGTAAAGCTTATCTTCGCCATGAGTTCGTTGCTTCAGTCTTTTGTTGCTTTGCTGAATGCGGCGTTGATTTGGAATTGCTTTTTATTAGTTTTATTTTCCGTTTTTGTCGTTTTTAATTTAAACTGGCGACGTTTCACTTTAATAATTTTAATACCTTGAGTTGTTTATTGCCTTCGTTTTAATTAAATGCCATTAAGGTGTTTCTCTTTCCCTGAGCTTAAAGCCAATTGTATTTTTGTAGCATTATATTGTTTTTAGGCAGTTCAGTGAAAAATTGTTTTGCTCCCATTTTGGATCTTATCTAAAATTGATTTTAGTTTACTACCTGCACACACTTAAGTTTCGTTTTATGGGTTTTTCCTTACGTCTTTCATCAGCGCCCGCTTGTTATTGATTACATTTTTAAACAATTTAAATAAACTGATTAATATTCATTGATGGCTAATATATGAGGCCTGAATGTGTCAGGGAATCTGTGTGCTAAAGCAGCTGCTACTGTCAAGTTCGACTAACTTTCTTCGAGCAACTCGCAAAAATATCAATTATGAAGTCATTATTATTTACAGCAAGCCACACATGCGTCCAGCCGCGTTTGATTAATAGCTATTCAAGCTTGTCAAGGGTTTGCCGTTTTCTATTTTCGCAAGCTAAGATTTTGGCAAATTTTTCTTTTTTGCACTGAAGGTGTTGCCGGAACATTTTTTCTGCGTTTTGCGCTTTTTGGTTTTGAGGCAGTCGCTGCGCAGTTCTAATTAGCTAATTATACGCTAAATTAGTATATAATTATTGCTGCCCGAGCGCTTGGTCTGCTCACGGAATTTACTAATTTAAACTGGCCAAATAGGAGATGATTGAAACTATTCAAATGTGTGCAAAAAATAAATGGTAGATAAGTCTTAAATGCCGTTGAGATGCGCTATCAGCGTTTTGTTAAATTTGTAATCAATTTGCCAGCTTTTGGCACAAAAGAACCCAGATTAGAAAATACAAAGAACTTCTCATTAATGGTCACTAGTCTGGCCAAAATCCTTTTTTATTTTATTTTAATTCTGCTTTGTTTCGCGCCCATGATAGCTGGAATATCTATGGTCTGTGCGTCATGACTTTCCAAATACAAAACACCTTGCTATAAAACTTGAATTTATACGCCTGCGATAAGGCAGCGCGGCTTTGTATCCCGCCACAAAGACATAGTCTTATTAACAAAAATATACAAATTTGTATCTATATATATATATATATGTAGATATATATAAAACTACCGACATTTGATTTTAATATGGTTCTGCTTTGCATAGATGTGCGACAGGCAAGAAATATTGAAATATCTAAAAAATAAACTACAGACTTGGACAACGAAGTTGACAACCAAACTTGCACTTACCGGTTTCAAATTGGTCAACGTGGTCGAAAAGTTTATCCAATTTTAATAGCTTAATAAATCCACATAAATTTGTACGTTTATAGTATATGATACTTTTGTATTCGTATTAAATTGGTTGGGCTTCACAAAGATTATTAGTTTTTCCCATGCCTCAGCCCATTATGAGCATTATTTATGGCAACCGATTGTTGA